TGTGGATGAGCGTCTTTTCTTCAGTTAAACCAGGTTTATTTTGGATTAAAGTTGCCTTTTATTCAGTAAAATCAATATTAATGTGGATAAAAGTCACCTTTTCTTAAGTTAAATAAGGTTTAATTTGGATTAAAGTCGCATTTTCTTTCGTTAAATAAGGTTTCATTTGGATTAAAGTCGCCTTTTCTTAAGTTAAATCGGGTTTAATTTCTATTAATTTTGCTTTCTTTAGTTAAACCAGGTTTAATTTGGATAAAGTTGCATTTTATTCAGTAAAATCAAGATTAATAGGATAAAAGTCGCCTTTTCTTTAGTTAAACCAGGTTTAAATTGGATTAAAGTCGCTTTCTTTAGTTAAACCAGGTTTAATTTAGATTAAAGTCCAATTTTATTCAGTAAAATCAAGATTAATGTGGATAAGTCGCCTTTTCTTTAGTTAAATAAGGTTTAATTTGGATTAAAATCGCTTTCTTTAGTTAATAAAAGGTTTAATGTGGATTAAAGTCGCCTTTACTTTATTTAAATCGGGTTTAACATGGATTAAAGTAGCCTTTTCTTTAGTGAAATAAGGTTTAATTTGGAATAAAGTCGCATTTTATTCAGTAAAATCAAGATTAATGTGGATAAAAGTCGCCTTTCCTTTAGTTGAATTAGGTTTAATTTGGTTTAAAGTCGCTTTTTATTTGTAAAATCACGTTTAATTTGGATTAAAGTTGTCTTTAGTGAAATAAGGTTTAATTTGGATTAAAGTTGTCTTTAGTGAAATAAGGTTTAATTTGGATTAAAGTAAAATCAAGATTAATGTGTGTAAGTCTTCTTTTTTTTTAGTTAAACAAGGTTTAGTTTGGATTAAAGTAGCTTTTTCTTTAGTAAAATCAGGTTTAACTTGGATGAAATATGCCTTTTCTTCAGTTAAATCAGGTTTAATTCGGATGAATTAATATACATATGCTGACCTTTGACCCGCCCTCCCCCTGGCCGCCCCTTACCTTTGCCCCGGCGCTGACCTTTGCCCCGGTGCTGACCATGGGGCTCAGCCTGGAGAACAGCAGGTAGACGGAGTCCAGCCGGCTCTGCGTGGCGTCCATCCAGACCGCGTCGGCCCGCCGGCTGCTCAGCCGGTCCAGCGGCTCCCGGCTGAAGAAGTTCTCCTGCGCGCCGCCCCCCCCGGAGAGCCCCCCCCCGGGGAGCCCCCCCCCCGCGCCGGAGCGGGCCAGCAGGGCGGCGATGTGGCCGTGGCCCCAGAACTTGGCCACGTCGTAGGCGGTCTGAGCCGAGCCGTTCACACAGAGCCGGTCACAGCTGGAGGGGAAGGCACCGGCGGCCATTATTATCCACCATGACCACATC